ATCTTCAGTCTGATTTTATCTATCTATCTATCATCTATCTATCTATCTACAGTCTGATTCTATCTATATATCTATCTATCTATCTATCTAGTCTGATTCTATCTATCTATCTATCTATCTATCCTATCTATCTATCTATCACCTGAATATTTCTATCTATCTATCTATCTATCTATCTATTTCTCGATCTATCTGTCTGTCTATCTATCTATCTATCTATCATCTGACTATTTTTATCTAACTATCTATCTATCTATCTATCTATCTTTCTATCTATCGAATCTGACCATTTCTGTATCTATCTATCTATCTATCTATCTATTTAATCCAGCTTAGCAACCACCCCGGGTACCTTAGCAACCGCATAGCAACACCTTAGCAACAGCCCCGGGCACCCTAGCAACCGACTAGCACCAACCTAGCAACCACCCCGGGTACCCTAGCAACCGCATAGCAACACCTTAGCAACCACCCCGGGTACCCTAGCAACCTCACAGCAATACCCTAGCAACCACCCCGAGTACCCTAGCAACCACATAGCAACACCCTAGCAACCACCCCGAGTACCTTAGCAATCGCATAGCAACACCTTAGCAACCGCCCTGAGTACCCTAGCAACCGCATAGCAACACCCTGGCAACCACCCTGAGTACCCTAGCAACCTCTCTGTAATGCACTGACATCTCAGAGTTCTGGCAGTAAGTTTTTCTTCAGAAAGCATCTGCGTCTCTGCAGTGATAGAGTCAGCATTTTCTCTGAGCAAGAGACTAATGCTAGTCTATTTCGCTCCTGATTGTTTCAAAAAGTCACTGTTTTTCCCTCTGATGGGCTGCCATGGATCCTTCATTTTCCCTTAATCTGCCCGGGTACCCTAGCAACCGCATAGCAACACCTTAGCAACCACCCCGGGTACCCTAGCAACCTCATAGCAATACCCTAGCAACCACCCCGAGTACCCTAGCAACCGCATAGCAACACCTTAGCAACCACCCCGGGTACCCTAGCAACCACATAGCAACCACATAGCAACCACCCCAAGTGCCCTAGCAACCGCATTGCAACACCCTAGCAACTACCCAAAGTACCCTAGCAACCACATAGTAACACCTTAGCAACCACTGTGGGTACCTTAGCAACCGCATAGCAACACCCCAGCAATCACACCAAGTACCTTAGCAACCGCATAGCAACACCCTAGCAACCATCCCAAGTACCCTAGCAACCACATAGCAACCCCTTAGCAACCAACCGGGCTAATCATGCTGACAACATGCTAGTCACTTTTTAATCATGCTAGCAACATGTTAATAGTATGCTAATCATGCAAAAAAAATGCTAACAAGATGCTAGTCACTTGCTAATCATGCTAGCGACATGCTAGTCACTTTTTAATCATTCTAGTAGCATGCTAATCATGATAGAAACATGATATCGACATGCTAGTAACTTGCTAATCATGCTAGAAACATGATAGCGAAATGCTAGTAACTTGTTAATCATGATAATGACATGCTAGTCACTTGTTAATCATGCTAGAAAAATGCTAGCAACATGTTAGTAACTTGCTAATCATGTTAGCGAAATGCTAGTCACTTGCTAATCATGCTAGAAAAATGCCAGCGACAGGCGTCACTTGCTAATTATGGTAGCAACATGCTAGTAACATGCTAATCATGCTAGCGGCATGCTAATAACTTGTTAATCATGTTAACGACATGTTAGTAACATGCTAGAAACATGCTAGCAACATGCTAATGACTTGCTAATCATGCTAATGACATGCTAGTCACTTGTTAATCATGCTAGAAGCATGCTAGCGACATGCTAGTAAATGTTAATCATGCTAGCTACATGCCAGTCACTTGCTAATCATGCTAGTAACATGCTAATCATGCTAGAAACAAGCAAGTGACATGCTAGTAACCTGTTAATCATGCTAGCAACATGCTGGTAGCATGTTAATCATGCTAAAAACATACTAGTAACTTGCTAATCTTGCTAGCAACATGCTAGTATCATGTTAATCATGCTAGAAACATGCTAACAACATGCTAGCTACACGCTAGTAAATTGCTAATCATGCCAGCAATATGATAGTAACAGGCTAATCATGCAAGAAACATGTTATCAACATCTATCTAATCTATCTACATTTTCAAACTTCTATCTATCTATCTATCTATCTATCTATCTATCTATCTATCTATCTATCTATCTATCTATCTATCTATCTATCTATCTATCTATCTATCTATCTATCTAGCACGTGTTTTGCGCATGAGCCGCACGCAGCCCAAAATTAAACGACTTAATCGACCATCGATAGCTTGAATCGATTGCATCTCTTATCAACAATTAATCGATCATCGATTAATCGTTGACATCCCTAATATATATATATATATATATATATATATATATATATACACACACATTTATAATTATAATATGCATAAAGCAACACTAAGTTTCAAATAGTAGTATGCTACATTGTTGTGAGTACACTAGTATTCCAGTGTTTTCTGTCACCTGCGCTCTTTTCTCTCTCAGCTCCTGCTGCTGCAATCGTCTCTTCTCCCGCTTCTCTTGAAGTTTCTCCACTTCCTTCACGCAGTTGGACTTCCTGCGAGCTGCAGACACACACAGAAAACTCTGACACTGGAAACAGACTCATTATTTAACAAGCACTTACATTTAGCATTAATAACACTGATCAGCTACACCCGATTCCCTCACTGTAACAGGCATTTTGTGTTACATAATTCTAAAGTCAGTGTGAATTAGTTTGTGTTCAACGTGTTTGAGTGATTCCCTCAACAATGGCAACATGAGGGCTCATCTCTGGAAAACAACACTAAATGCTGCTTTTGTACTGGTGTGACTCGCTGAGAGCTCTGCAGTCTCTCCTCTTCAGACGTCACACACCCTCAACATCATTACAACACACATACATGCTGTGTGTCAATAATAATTACACTACTGTTCAAAGGTTTGGGGTTGGTAAGATTTTTTATGTTTTTGAAAGAAATATCTTCTGCTCACTAAGGCTGCATTTATTCGATTAAAAATGCTGTAAAAATGGTAATCTTTTGAAATATTATTACAATTTAAAATAACTGTTTTCTATTTAAAAATATTTTAAAATGTAATTTATTCCTGTGATCAAAGCTGAATTTTCAGCATCATTACTCCAGTCTTCAGTGTCACATGATCCTTCAGAAATCATTCTAATATGCTGATTTGCTGCTCAAGACACATTTCTGATTATTATCAATGTTGACAATGTAACATTTTTGTGGAAAATGACTTTTGTTTTCCGTATTCTTTGATGACAGAAAGTTCAAAATAACATTTATTTGAAATAGGAATCTTTTGAAGCATTATAAATGTCTTTTTTTTATCACTTTTGATCGATTTAATGTGTCTCTGCTGAATAAAAGTATTCATTTCTTTTAAATCCTTACTGACCCCAAACTTTTGAACAGTATTGTGTGTATTGTATAACAGCTTGTGAGGTGTTGTGGTACCGTTCTGCAGCTGCTGTAGGGTCTGGTGTTGGATGGGTGGAGGCGGGACGGGCGCTGATGGAGGCGGTTCGGTCTGTTGGCTCGGCCGCGCTCGAGTCGTACCTACAGTGACTGAATATCACATCACTAACCACAAAATTCTGCAATAACACAAATGGAAATATGGGAATAATGTTGCGATCAATAATAATATTGATTGATTGTAATAAATGAAAACTCTTCTCTTCAACTTCATGAGGTACATCCTAGGATGAAGGAGTATTGAAGGTATTGAAGGAGGTGTGCGCTTGTAAATGCTTTTCCTTCATTCAATTATTACTCTATCAAGAACTTGAACCCGTTAAGAAAAAAAAAATTTGTAGGCAAATTTTATCTAGGAAAAATGTTTTCATTTACTGAAAAAGTTGAAATAAAATTAAATATAAATATTTATAGAATTTATAGATTTATAGAAGATTTTAATAATAAAAATATTAGATAAAATATCAAATTCTTGACCTGGCATCTAACTGAACTAAAATAAATGTAAGTTGAAGTACTAAAATAACTAAAACTGAAATAAAAATAAATTAAAGCCAAACAGAAATATAAAAAAAATGAAAAAATATTTAATATTATAATATTAAATATCATATTAAAAATATTAATAAATATTATAATAAAATATAAATAAAGTACTAAAGTAACACTGATTTCAAGCCTTTACATCAAAATTAGGGCTGGGCGATATGGGCAAAAAAAATTCACAATAAAATGTTTCATATCAGTCGATAACGATAATTATCACGATAAATGTTATATATTTCTTTCTTTAAAGTTTAAGGCAGATTTCTTTGCCTGAGTGAACATTGTAGAAACCAGACAGTTAATTGTAGTTTTAAACTATTTTTTTTTTGTCAAAATATGACAAACGCTTGCCAAACAGGTGAACATTTCACAAATTAGTTACAATATTGAAAACGTTTATAAAAAAATATTTTTTCTACATCAAAATATGCATGAGTAAAACCCTTTTTCAGTCTTTTTTCTTAAAATATCTTGATAGATAAAGTTCTTAGTTTCCGCGTGTTTCCTGACTTTGATGGCACGATGCAGATGTAAACTTATGTTCAATAGCAAAAACAGTAACATCTGTAAAAACTGTAACAAACTCATATTTATAGGGTAGAATTTAAATATTCTGACTGTTTGAGTTTGAATTTTATTAAAATTAACCATCGGTCAACCATAGTATCACACAATTAGATCATGATTACCAAACGTAAAACCACACATAGCACCTCACTACCATGGTAAAATGTAAATATATGGTTTCTATGGTATTTGTATGAAAAACAGTAGCCTTAACACATTTAGTATAAATACAAATGCTATAGCTTAATATTCCATGTAAAAGCCTTCTGACGGGTTTGTTCCATGGCACAGTGTTTCTCGTGTTTGTCAGTGCTGTTGAGAACATCAGCAGTGGCTTTAAACCAGATCAGCGAGTCATTTGCGTTCTTCACTGAATTCAAGCTGTTCTCGCTGGATCTCACAGAGCGTTCTGCGAGTAAACGAGTCTGCTCGAGCTGCCGTTTGAGCCGAGCTGATAACTGGTCGGTGTGGTACCGATAACGCGGTTTCGTTTCACATTTGACGCATAAACATTTTACCAAACGTGTTATCTTTCTATCCGGAAAAATATATCGTGGCAACTATCGTTATCGATAATTCTCTGATTTTGAACATTACTTTTGCATGACTTGTACATCATACCTCGATTATCCCTTGCAGGCGCTTCATTTTTCGGTGGCGCTACTGTCCGACGATTCTATAAATGATGAATCCAAGAAAATAAACATACTTTATATAATCCAATATAGCAAAAATATGCATCGACACAAAAACATTCACAGTCAACTTATGCCACATTACCACCTACTAGTTGCTACACCTACAGTGACTGAATATCACATCACTAACCACAAAATTCTGCAATAACACAAATGGAAATATGGGAATAATGTTGCGATCAATAATAATATTGATTGATTGTAATAAATGAAAACTCTTCTCTTCAACTTCATGAGGTACATCCTAGGATGAAGGAGTATTGAAGGTATTGAAGGAGGTGTGCGCTTGTAAATGCTTTTCCTTCATTCAATTATTACTCTATCAAGAACTTGAACCCGTTAAGAAAAAAAAAATTTGTAGGCAAATTTTATCTAGGAAAAATGTTTTCATTTACTGAAAAAGTTGAAATAAAATTAAATATAAATATTTATAGAATTTATAGATTTATAGAAGATTTTAATAATAAAAATATTAGATAAAATATCAAATTCTTGACCTGGCATCTAACTGAACTAAAATAAATGTAAGTTGAAGTACTAAAATAACTAAAACTGAAATAAAAATAAATTAAAGCCAAACAGAAATATAAAAAAAATGAAAAAATATTTAATATTATAATATTAAATATCATATTAAAAATATTAATAAATATTATAATAAAATATAAATAAAGTACTAAAGTAACACTGATTTCAAGCCTTTACATCAAAATTAGGGCTGGGCGAAATGGGCAAAAAAAATTCACAATAAAATGTTTCATATCAGTCGATAACGATAATTATCACGATAAATGTTATATATTTCTTTCTTTAAAGTTTAAGGCAGATTTCTTTGCCTGAGTGAACATTGTAGAAACCAGACAGTTAATTGTAGTTTTAAACTATTTTTTTTTTGTCAAAATATGACAAACGCTTGCCAAACAGGTGAACATTTCACAAATTAGTTACAATATTGAAAACGTTTATAAAAAAATATTTTTTCTACATCAAAATATGCATGAGTAAAACCCTTTTTCAGTCTTTTTTCTTAAAATATCTTGATAGATAAAGTTCTTAGTTTCCGCGTGTTTCCTGACTTTGATGGCACGATGCAGATGTAAACTTATGTTCAATAGCAAAAACAGTAACATCTGTAAAAACTGTAACAAACTCATATTTATAGGGTAGAATTTAAATATTCTGACTGTTTGAGTTTGAATTTTATTAAAATTAACCATCGGTCAACCATAGTATCACACAATTAGATCATGATTACCAAAGGTAAAACCACACATAGCACCTCACTACCATGGTAAAATGTAAATATATGGTTTCTATGGTATTTGTATGAAAAACAGTAGCCTTAACACATTTAGTATAAATACAAATGCTATAGCTTAATATTCCATGTAAAAGCCTTCTGACGGGTTTGTTCCATGGCACAGTGTTTCTCGTGTTTGTCAGTGCTGTTGAGAACATCAGCAGTGGCTTTAAACCAGATCAGCGAGTCATTTGCGTTCTTCACTGAATTCAAGCTGTTCTCGCTGGATCTCACAGAGCGTTCTGCGAGTAAACGAGTCTGCTCGAGCTGCCGTTTGAGCCCCAAACAACAGACAGAAAATGACAGATTTAGGCGAAACAGCTTATTTATTTATAAACTTGTGTTTATGTAAAGTTCTTTGACATTGAATTTGAGTATTTGAACATAGTTTTCAACCCCTTTGCAGTTTGTACATTATATTATATATATTTTAAATACTTATTTTGTTATTTAAAACGGAAACCTTTGAGAACTAAAACATTTGACTGCTTTTGTTATTTTGGTAAAGCTGATACATATACACTACCGGTCAAAAGTTTGGGATCAGAGCGATTTTTAATATTTTTTAAAGGAGTTTCTTAAGCTCATCAAGGCTGCATTTATTTGATCAAATATACAGGAAAAAATTTAATATTGTGAAATATTATTAAGATGTAAAATAACATTTTTCATGCAAAACTTTATTATTTTGCATATATATGTGGTATTATATTGACTCCATAGTGTTTTGTGTGTTTTACGACTAAAAATGACCCAGCCTGTATTGATTTCACTGTAAAAACTGAAAACAGTATTTTATGACTCCCGTCTAGAAATCCATCTGAGAAGTTATAAAAGCCATATTGAGTGCGCTACAATCATCTGTCTGTCTGGTGCTGTGCTCGTTCCTCCTCTTGATTACGTCTATTAAGGTGTAGCGAAACTGACACAGACCTTGTTTTGGGGGATCTTGTTGATTTTGATGGCACTGGACACAGGAGGTGGAGGGGTTTCAGGACTTTGTGGGATTTCCTCTTCAGGTGCAACGTCTGGATTTAGTGCAAATATGCTCTCTAGATCGATCTGTTCATGGAGAATGAGAGCACGAGCATCAGGCTGCCAGTTTCAAAAGCACTTCTACTCGCGGCACACGAGCGCACAGGATTTTCCACAGTTGTAAAAGCTGCTAAAAATAATCCTCCCACAGGACACAAAACGAGATCTCAGTATCTCAGCTGTTTCTCCTGGACAGCAATGAGATGAAATAGAGACTCCTATGAAGATCAGAAAGTGCGCTCAGATTTGCCTCAGAGATCTCAATATGAACTCAAATATTTCTCATCAAACTCTTTCAGGACCAAATGAGCTGCCATCCACATTCATTTTACCCCTCTATTTCTCATGAGGACTGGTTGGAGAAACATCTGCGATTAAGTTAATAGTTAGCTATGAAAGAGCAACATATGAGCAATAAAACCTTTGTCTATTTGTCTAAAGCATTTAATAACTAAAGACCACTGATAACCCTGGAAGCTATTTAAGGCAGAGGTACAAAAGCTGCTTTAGAATAAATCTCCCTTGATTCTGACACATCACTGTTGTATCTGTGTGTCTCTTTTAGAGATGTGCAACTACAAAAACAAATATCCATGAATGAAACATACAAGCTTTTGTCTTTAGTGCATTATGCCAATATGACGGACATACTGAATATGACTATCAGACATTCACCTCTTTCCCTTTTGTGTCTCCGTTTTCAATCCACTCCACCGTCACGCACTCATTGTCTTCGTTCAGTGATGTCACCATGGCCTGGTGGATTCTTCCTGAAATACATAATAAAACAACGGTTTACTGAAAAAAATCTGCAGCTCTATGATAGCACTACAAACACTTCATAAAGCCTAAAAATAAAGGAGCTACATCAATGAATTAAGTATCAAAGGAAAGCACAATGAAATATTCCAGCCAATCATAATGAGGTACTCTTAAAGGGGTCATATGATGCGATTTCAATTTTTCCTTTCTCTTTGGAGTGTTACAAGCTCTTGGTGCAAAAAGAAGATCTGTAAAGTTGCAAAGACTAAAGTCTCAAATCCAAAGAGATATTCTTTATAAAAGTTAAGAGTCAGCACATTTCATTACACCAAATACACAAAATAATGTTCTTTTTAGCAGCATCATATGACCCCTTTAATAATATAATATACAACAAATATAGCCCATAGTGCTTTATGTGATTATGAATGAGAACTTACATTATACACAATGCTAAATAAATGAATAAATGGACTTTAAAATAAAGAAATATACAAGTCTAACTCGTGCTGGGCGGTATACCGGATCATACCGAATACCGGTGTTTATTTATGTTATGATATGATTTTTTAAAATACCGCAATACCGGTGTATGTCGTTTAAACAACGTTCGGAACACTGTTTGAGAGGGGTCCCTTTTCACTGGTGCAAGGACACAGCTGTATGTGTTACTAAGCATGAAAGTTCCGAAACTGAAGCTGTAGAACTAATAGAACGTGATGACACAGAAGAACTCATCCACAATAT